CTACTATAAAATGAAGGACACGTGACACGTGCGTGACTGCCATTCTGTCTCCACATGAAAATCTGACTCACGGGTCTGCCTCACGTCGCGTGCAACTTCTCTTTAAATATTCCGCTAATTAATTTTAACTTTTTAAAAGACAAAACATAACAAATTTTAAAAATAATAAGTTTCTAACTTACCAAAAGACTAAAGTAAATAACTAAATATTAAGTTTAATTATACCACAAATCTCCTTTTCGGAAGCTTATATTCAAATTTCTTCAACCTTTCATTTGTATTTATTGGTTATAATAATATTAATATGTTTTAATAAACTCACATATTTTTCCAGTTTAATCAAAATTTTATTTATAAATTGGCAACCTAAACTAATTTTTTTAAAAATAGTTAAGAGATTAATAATCTGTTTACTGCAAATCAAGAAAGCTGAATTTTCTTGTTTAAGAAGTGTGTGTGTTAGTAACGAAGAATAAAATTAGCTATTTGAGGGTATTATATAAATAGGTAGAAATTGGGGCGGTGGTGTGTCTCCGTGTAGTTGACCGTTGACTCAGATTATTATTATATGATTGAACTAATATATGGCTTAACGGAAGACTGTTATTTAGTAGTTAATCACAGGTTAAATTTTAATTATTAATTTAGTGTGTTAAGTAAAACGAACTGATACTGAACCAAGAATCCGGTGGATTCCATAGGCCTAAAAGGCTAGGCTTAGGGTTGGGGACCATACTATATAACTCATATATGCCACTTTTGGTTTTTAATCTTTTGATTATTTAATGTATCTTATAACGATTTTTCTTTGTTTAAAACTTCGTGAAACGGTTGTCGAAAACTGTTTGAATGGTCAAACATTCACTACTTGAGCAAAATCGAAACATTTAAAATTTTGAATTTTAGAAGGAATTTGCAATAGGATTTCGAAATGTAGAGGAGATAAATAAATTTAAATATTTGTTGTCAGCATTTAAATAAAACATTACGGCGCCTTTTAATATTTTCCAATGTTTTTAAAACCGGACCGACGACCGAACCGGAAATTTTTTGGAATTATGGGTCAATGTGGTCCGACCGGATCGAACCAGATTTAATATTTTTTTTAAAAATAGTAATATAAATAGTTTTTGTATAACTATAATATCCAAATATATAATATAGCCTTTGAATAAACATATTTTTAAAAATTAATCATAAAGAAAWRKWTTTWAWWAKKAAAAWACTATTTAAAGACAYAGTTTAATGAAAAATAGTTAAGTTTATATGTAAAAAAATAA